CAATAAAAGCAAGATTTCAACCTACAAAAAACCAAAAATGGGGTATTAAGCAGTATATTCAAGGAAAAAACAAAAAAAAAAAAAAGAAGCTGCCGAAGACTTTGTGTTCGCTGCAACTTCCAGCAAACCTCCTCCACGTCGTGTGGTTGCTTAGAGACGGTGGAGGCTAAACCAAAATGTAAGGCTGAACCAAAATGCAAGCTGCCGATCGACGTCGTCGACGCTAGCTGGAGGCCGAACAATGCAAGGAAAATACATGCAAAAATAAATCAATCAATTGACCGAGAGAAGGGCGAACTCACCGGCACCGGCGCGGAGCGGACAACAGGGGGCGCTACGGAAGAACAGCGACAGCAAGCTTTGCCGGAGAAGAAACCAGATCTACCGGCCGCAGAGGAAAACCAGAAATGGGGAAGAAAGGTGAGGCGCGGGTGATATGAAGGATTATATTTGACAGCCATGCTGTCGAATATACAGAAAAAACGATGTCGTTCCCATAAATGAACATATTCGACAGCCAACGGCTGTCGAATATATGTGTATATTCGACAAAAAGGCTGTCGAATATGAATACTGTCGATTAAACAAGATATTTCCATTATCATCGTCAATTTTACATCTTCGTCAATCTTTCTGTCGATTATGTACACATTTTCGACAGCAATATGGCTGTCGAATATATTATTGTCGCTTATGCTGCGTTTTCCAGTAGTGAACATTTTATATATTTTTATAATAAAAAAATATAAAAACCAAAAACTATAACCTCAACAAGTGTTCCGAAAGAAAGCATTAATAATTTCTTATAGGTCTAGTTAGGGATGAGCATTATTGGTTATGAAATATATTTGATATTTGATTTAAAAATTTTTAGAACCTAAATACTTGGTATTTAATTCAGTAGGTACTGAGTAATTTACGAATATATACTTATATACTTGATTTTGGGAAAAAAAATGTTTAATCTGAGATGTTATTGTTACGTGTATTATGTGTTTAGCTTAAAATTTATTATTTAGATGAATTGTGTATTATGTGTTTAGCTTAAAATTTATTATTTATATGAATTATTGTTGTGTGTGTAATTTGTTTGGTTTATATGGCTTAACTTTTATTTTTATTTTTTGTATTTTATTATTTTATTTTTAAAAATTATTGTTATTAGATAGATATTATATAAACAAATACATATAAAATTTTAATTATATAAGTATAAGTAATAGGTTAATTAAACAACATCGTTAAACATGTTGGATAAATAATTTTAAATTCTTATACTTATTATTTAACTAAATACTTACATATATATTATTTTCATATTCATTATTTATTTAATATTTTTTACAATTCAAATATAATATTTATCTAAATAAATAAAATACTTATAAATAAGGAATGTATTCATGGCCGATGCTCTCCCCTGCGTCTACCATAAAGCAATAACTGGCTCCGCAATTTTTCTCACAGCATTATTCGACTAGGCAATAATTAATCACCTCTTTTCTGTATAGCTACAACTGGGCCCGCAATTGGCCCACTACAATATTGAGCTTGGCAATGATTCACGGCCCTTTTTCAGTATAGCAATAATAACAGGGCCCGCAGTTGGCCTTACTGCATTATCTTATCTTCTTGCTTTCGCTTTTTGGTTTGATTTTTTCCAAAACATAAGTTGCCTTTTGCTTTTCTTTCTTTCTTTTTTTTTTCCTTTATAAGAAAATGGGGAAATTTTGGAGAATGAAGAATTTTTTTTAAATTGTTGGTAGGAGTCAAACTCTCCATCAATTAAATCAAAGCATTAAAAATTATGAACGAATCGTTGCACTGAAGATTTGGTTCATAAATTGCCTTCTACTTTTGGGATCCAAAATGCTATTATTACTGTACTAGTCAAGTTTCACTTCCTCTAAATTTGATTAATTTAATTTGATGTACGAAAATTATTAAACTATTTAATTATAAAACCTGCACAATAAGAGTCATCAACCCAATTATTTAATTTGCATCAAGACATCCTTCATCCTGCAGTATGTCACCTCCGCAGACAAATTAATGTGGATCGTTTTATTTAGGTTAAAATATCAATTTGGTCCTTTAACTTTTAAATTTAGATCACAATTACCTTAAACTTCAAAAGCACCAATATTGTCCCCAATCTTAAATTTTTAGTGCAAAAATAGTCCTTGAACATTAATTTAGTACCAACTTAATCCTTAAACATTGAAGATAAGCACCAACTTAATCCTTTAACTTTGATTAAAAGTTTTAGTTTAGTCATTTAACTTTAATTATATATCAATTTGATATGTAAATGAAAATATACTATAATAGCAAAATATGATTGTTCGCCTTTATATGTCATTAATATTTTAAAAAAATTGATTTTTTGACAAGATAAATACTCATGTAGTGTTTTTATTAATGGAAGGACCATTTTGGTATTGAAAATTAAAATTTAGGGATAATTTTGATATTTTTTTAAGTTTAAGGACAATTTCAACATAACTCTAAAAGTTAAGAAACCAAATTGGTATTTCAATCTTTTATTTATAATCTTAATATCTAAAATGCAGCAATGAATTTGATTAGAAAATCATTCTCAGGTACAAAACTGCGGTGCTGAGCCTTCAATGCTAGGTTTTGGCTTGTAAAGATGTGACAGTATTAATCAGAGTTTGAGTTTTACTCTTCTGCATGATTCCCAACTCTAAAGGTCCGCACTCAGAATTTTTCCTTAGATCCAACACCCCACAACGAGGGGTAATTCTTGTTCTAAACGGAATTCTCTTTGGTAGCAATTGCCTGAAGTTAGTTTTCTTTTTCTCAATTTCTTTCATTTTCGTTGATTGTTTTCATGAATTGGGTAGAATGTTTAAATCCAAACCTTAACTACTGTAATAAAAATAGATCTATTTCAATAAAAAAAAAAAAAACAAAATAGCCCACTAATTAACTTGAAATAATAGTTCAAAATTTACGCGTGTGACATCACTAATTAATGATTCCTACCATTCTTCTGGATATATATACCTTAACTCTTCTAAGTGAAGAGTAAATGGTTGACCAACATTAAGCAAGGGAAGACAAAAAGGGATCCTCCTTGAACCCTCGCAACCAAGGAAGAGAAAATCACCTAATAGTACCATCATCGCGCTACAAAAGCTTTTTAGGGTAGGCAAGTCATCCGATTTCAAAAGTTTCAATTTTGGAAGAATGACCATGTTGACTCTTTTTCTACTCATTGTTCTTCTTTTCTCTCTCTTACTTGAGTTACATAATAAAAATTAATTTTTTTTATTTTATTTTTACACACATGTAATTCAAACTTGAAATCTCAAATTTTTATTAAAAAAAATTATCATTGTATTATTTAAGTCATTGGCATTGACTTCTTTATTCTTTGAGATTCAATTAGACATTCCCCCATCTTTTAAAGCGAAAATATGGTTTAAGCTTCTTATGTTGTTGCAACATGTCAACACCTGTTCTTTTACAAGGGCTTTCTAACATATGTCTGAAATTTAAGAATGTATTTATTATACTTTTACTCTATTAATTTGTATAAAAATTATAAAAGTAAATTTTATTTTCAACACTAATATCATATAAATAATTTTAAT